AGTGTAGACTGACCTTGGGGGGTTTGCCCTTTTTTTTTTTTCCCCAGACTTGGTTTATTTGTTTATGTTTTTTTTCCCTCCAGACAAGTGCAAAAGTACTTAATTATTTCAGAAGTTAAATTGATTAAAACGGTGGGCCTGTGGCATATGTGCACTTGAGATCTCTGGTGTCTCAGATGTGGTACTGGGAAAACGAACATGGAATTATCAGCCACCTCTGAAGGTTTCATCTTACCTGATTCATCCAGCATTGCATGAGAGCTCTGGACTGGCACAGACAGGATCGAGTTCTCCAAGGGTTCATAAAGATGAGGCTTTCCTTTTTCTTCTCACAGTCATTGCCTCATTAGCTACGCATTTATTCAGCAAGACAAGCACAAGTTTTATGTGTAACAGCCTTTTTTCTAGGCAACTGGGTTCTTTCTGTGCCTGGGTCCAAGCTATGCATGGAGCAAGTCTGATTTTCTTTGATTGAAAACCAGTTGCTAAGCCCCTTTGTAAATACCTGTTTTTCTGGGGAACTTTGTACCTAGCATTTCTATATTTTGAGGCTTCTGTAATGTGGGGAGGTAGGGTGGAGGATTTGGGGGATGGCTTGGATGCAGATTATCACTTAAAAGAAATAAACTTGGATACAGAGGAAGAGCAGGTAACCTCTCATGCATGGTGTCCCATGGCTTAGGTCATTGCAGAGGGCGACCAGTCCACAACACAGCCCTGAACCCAGAGCATCAGAGTAGCCGGTAGAAATGTCCATCCTTTCCTTCTGCCCAGGCTCTCTTCTAGAGGGGACTTGGGTATTTTCAGCTATGTGCTTTCCCTCCCCTTTGGCTCCAGTGCCTACACAGCTTGATGCTCAAACCAAACTGCTTCAGAGCTAGGGCGGGTATCGGTGACAAAACAAGCCAGGTTACTGGCTGTTGCAGGGGCAATCTTAACCGGACATGCTGGGGGACGGAGAAGTCCTCCAGCAAGCAGAATTGGGGGATGTTTTCCCACTGTCTCAGCTGGTGTTGTCAAAGTGAGTCTCAAAATGTCAGCGCTGCATCTCCCACTGCCAGGGACATCACTTCTGCGCCTGTCGACACTTGCCTGGGAGCAGTGGTAGGTTACAGCATGAGCTCCCCAGAAGGATGCTGCTCTTGTACCCTTTTTTGTGTTCTCTTAAAAGGGGACTTCAGACTGAGTGATTCAGAGTCAGTTCCGTGTGAATTAGATGGGAGGATATGTCAACAGGTTCATTAACAGAGTTTTGGCTATAAAAGGACAGATTTTTAGAAATGAGAGAAACTAATTAATGAGATCAGCTGCTCGTAAGAGTGCAGGAGGAGCTGTTGGATTAGTTTCTTTTATGTTAAAGGTAGGAGAACTGTCTGAAGTTTGCATCCTGAACGAGAGAGGAGAATTTGTATGAGAGGTTACAGACCTGAGTGAATGAATAACTTGGGACCTGCAAGGAATGGCTGAAATGTCCAACAGGTGAAGAAATGTACTTCAGAGGTATGAAGAGAGTCTTGCGGTATGTCAGGCTGCTGGGCATCACAGCCTATATTGAGACAAGCAACAAACGTTTTTCTGATCAAGTAAAGAAAAAGAATAATGAGAACAGATGACCCTCAAACTCATGACTGAGCCTAGAGACAAATCCAGGAGAGACATGGAAACAGAAATTTCCTGCAGCTGAAGTGAAACCACAACTCAAAGGGCATCCCCCAGCAGACTGGAGGAGCTGACACACGTGGCTATGAGAGCGACAGCAAGGCTTATTACCATATTTTCCAAGTTGAGAGTGGTCCCCACAGTTGATGACCAGGACAGACAGGTGGGAGAGAGAAGCCATGATCCAGGCAGCCAGCTCTGTGGGTGCATGGAAATATATTTTGGGACAGGCTGGAGGACGCATATAGCTGAAGCACTGTGTGTAAGCAAAAAAATGGGATAAAATGCAGTAAAGGGTGTTGAAGTAGATTGTTTCTGCCTGACCTGGAATCTTTATTTGATGAGACAAAAATGGGTTTTTCTGCCTTGATCTAGACCTGAGCAAAGCATTTGAATTTCATGTGAAGAAATTGTTAAACTAGAGGAAGCAGTGAGATTAAAAAAGAATGTATCTTATTGGGAAATAACTACAGATTGTGCTGAAGGCAGGACTGACAGGTTGGAGTAATGTTATCAGTGGGATTCTTGGCACTTACTTAATATTAACACTAATGTTATTGACACAAAAATATCAAAGCATGCTTGGCAAAACTTGCCAATGAGCAAAATGGGGATCTTTTGTCCATACAGAAGAGGATCTGCAAGAGGGAGAAGAATTACATGGCTGGAGAACTAAGTAGTGAGAATTGAATGATGTGGTGGTATAAAGTGAAGGGGGTGCGTTTAGAGACAGTAACGGGAACTAAGAATTAAGACCTCATCTGAAACTTCTGTGTGCATTTCCAGTCTTGTTCAAAAAAGGTGAATTCATATTGAAGCAGAGACAGATCTGCAGTTGTAAGATGAGGTGAGTGGAGAAGGTGTTTTACGAAAGGAGCTGCCTTATTTACACAAGTGAAATGAAGACTGAGAGGGAATATGATTGTGCTCTTACAAAGAAATTGGACGGGAAGGGTAGGGTAAACACCTCAGAGAGTTTAGAAGAGCTTTTTAAGCTAAAAGATAATGTTGGCACGTGAACAAATGGGTATACGCTGGCCATGAATAAATTTAAGCTGAAAATTAGAAGAATCAACAGGGGAATGAGACTGTGGAAGAGCTTTCCAACCAGGGGAAAGGGAGCAAAAATGTAACTAGTTTTAGGACAGATCTTAATAATTTTATTAATGGGACTGTGTAGTGTAGTGCTTATGACAGCGGGGAGCTGGGCTGGTGACCTACAGGGTTTCTGCCAGTCCTACATTTCAAACGCTTAGGAACACAGTGTTTGCAGAGAGGAGGTCAACCTGTGTTGGTCAACTGGCTTTCTCTTGTAGGAGCCTTGTAGGTATTATACTGGCATACTAGAGCTTTTCCAAGCTACAGTGATTGCATCTCATGTAAGAGATGTCTCATGTGGCCTTGTCATAGAAATAATCATTCAATTAATAGGATGCTTATTTAAGTAATGAGAGTTTGGGATTTTTTTCCCCTCTCTCCATCCCTTTTGATGACAAGCAGAAAAATTGGGGAGACAAAGGAAAAGAGACTGCCAATTTAAAAAGTATTTGCTAAAAATATTAAATGAAATATTATTTTGAATCCTGTCTTTAAGTCTTTTTTGTTCCCTTTGAAAAAATGTTTTTTGCTTGTCAGCCGCTTCCAAGAGCTAGCCTTGGTGGAACGATCCACCAGGGTAGTTTTCAAGGTGACACATGTTAGATATATCTGGGACATGTTTAGATGTTCCTGTAACTAGCACCCTGTAACATCTCCCAGTTAATCCAATTAGTGGAAACAGTGAATATGGATTTATTGCAGTGCTGTGCACTGTGATACTCTTACTGTTTCTCTGATCTCTATTCATATCCAGGAGTTTGCAGGAAGCTCTCACAAACAGGGTCTTGGGTGTTTCTTTGTCACAGGTGGTTTTGGATTGCTGTGAAGGTGTCTCTCAGAGGGAAGCCATGGACAATCTGCTCAGGAAGGTGGATGAAGAGAAAACCCTGAAAGCAGAAAGTTTGGTCAAACTTTTGGGGTCTGTGAAAGCATCATTCCCTGGTCTCCAGCTTGTGCTAGACAACTTGATGACAACAGCAAACGTCTCTGATGGCAAAGGTATGGGTACACTAAACTTCCGAGTCCGGGAGCTCAGTTCAGGGAATTGTCAGGAAGTTTGGATACTTGTCTGGACTTCAGCGTGCTCTTATAATCTTACTTTCATGTAAGGGAATGGGATGGCCATTTTATGCAAACAGAAATGGTGTGGGAGCATGGGGGTAGGAGGACTATGCCAGCAAGGAGGCCCATGCTTTGCAATGAAACGAGCAGTGTTGGGCAGATGCATGTTGGGTTCCTTCCTTGAGTTTGACACTGATAGGGTAGAAACTAGGATATCATATCTGGTAAACAGAACTGTTCCCTCCAGTGTCAAATTACTTTTTGGTTTTGAGTCACTTAAAAGCAGCACCATGTGTCTCCATAATAAATAGAACAATTTTCACCTAATAAACACTTCATAGGTGAAGACATCTTTAACAACACTGGTCTATAGGTGACTTAACTCATGGTACTTGCTGGCTGTGAAAGCAAATACCTAAAACTTCCCCAAACTCATATGGATGTCTTGATGTTAAATACAGGCAACGTCTTACCTGGAGGCTGTCTTTGTGAATTCCTTGTGATTGAAGGATTGTAGGAAAATTTAGTTGGGCTGTGCTCCTGTCCTAAATCCAGGTATCCATTTCTGCGTATCATGGTCACGGACTTGTGCTCTCCTGTGTGGAGCAGAGTGTGCTGATGGGAGCCTCACACTTAGTGTCCCCATTAGACATCCTTATCTTGGACAACTAGTCCTCTCCTCCTTTTTGGTGGGGTTTTATTGCTTATTGCCTGCCTATGGTAGTTCAGGGACTCATGAGCCCTTGTCTTTCGACTGGTGGGACAGCGTTCCAAGTTTGGGTGGGTTTAGGCACACCCCTGAGCAGTTCAGATAGAGAGGCAAAATTTCACCAGCTCTGAAGTCACTTAAAAATTAAAAACTAAATTAACATGCAGTGAAATGTAAATTAGTGTTTAACAGAAAGCAAAACTGTGCTCATAATTCTGATAATTTCCTCTGTAGCAAACATTCCCGACAGACAGTTTGCTTTGTCATTTGTTAAGCAAGATTGCTTTCTTGAAACACCAGACTCCCAACATGGTTAATTATCTAGTGGTAATACCCATTCCAAGGAGGAGCATTCCTTAATTACATAGAGCTGAATCTCCTCAAATTGCAGCTTGAACAAACAGAAGCACAAATATTTCTTATCATGAAAATGAAGAGGGAGGAAATGATCTGAGCCACTAACAGCAGCCTTTGGTGTCCTGTGCTGTCCTGCAAACAGAAAGGAGGATGTCTTGCACAGTGGTGCAGGGCACGCTCTGGTTATGGAGCTGAACTTGGTACGGCAGCAGAACTGAGAGGGCATTCATAACTACTCAAATTTGTGTAATAATATCAGAAACATTCCTATGGGACTAATAAAATATTTTTATTTGTAAACCATTCCCTGATCCAGGTGGGGCACATTCAAGTCATACCTAAACCCTACGGAGCTCAAGTGCTCAATGAGGTTCCCTTAGCTTTGCCAGGGAGTAGACTCGGGTGTCCAAGAAATCATTGTCCAGGGAGTTTTTCATATTAGCTCAAAAATGTTCCACTGATTATTCCCACAGCCTGCCGTTGCCTCCTTCACCATCCTGGAGAGCTTTCTCTTCTTACCTGGCACTGTGTGTCTTCTGGGTCCCAGAGGCTGTATTTCCTTTTCACCAAGCTGTGTGTATTTAGCTGCTGTTTTCCCAAGTAGTGCTGTGCGAATAATAGATTGTTCTATTTGGTACTGAACCAAAATGATTAAAAGACCTCCACACACAAACAAAAAACACGCGCAGATGTCTTGGATGAACTGCAGTTTTTGTTTTGGTTTCTCCTACAAAAGTATAACTATGCATCTTCTCCAATTTAGTAACTCCAACAGTGAAAAAAGTCCTTTTCAGATTCATCTATTTGGCAATTTCCAGTTTTATTTATCAACTAATTTGGCAACAAGTACAATCATATATTACTTTTAGTACACACTATGTTTTTTCCAAGTTTCTTCATTACCCTAAATAAACACTGTTCCTCTTTCTTGAATTAGTCCACTGTGTCCTGGTACTGGGGTGTCTTTAAAGGGTTGTGGTGTTACTCTAGAGTCATTGTTTCTCAGATTCATCAGGGCAAACCTCAGCAGACCCAGCTTGGAATTAGATATGGGGGAGGAAGGAATGAGGTTAAAGTTGCATTTTTGCGGTGTAGGGGAGGGACAAGGGTGTTACTGCCGCTTTACAGTCACAAGTGTGGTTTGTGTTCCCTTAACATTTTCACCAAGGACAACTCAGCCTGCGAATTTCTTGATTACATTGGACCATCTAGGTGTTTGTAAAATGTCAGTATGTTTGATAGTCATACACTGCTGAAGTGGAGCATGTTGCAGAGCTCCTTCTCGGTGGAGTGGATCAAAGACTCTCACTTACAGATCTCTTTCAAAGAAACTACAATTAAGAGTCAGTAATGGGGTCTCCTTGATTCGAGGGCATCGGAAGCGGCTGGTGCACGTCTTAACAAGTCTGCATGCTTAACTGCTGAACATTGCTGAAAACTGAGACTTTCTTCTTCTGGGCTCAGACCAAGACTGAGACTCAGAAGGCATTTGGGTGGCAGAGATCTATTTCTGTAGGCACGTATGGGCAGAGGATATATTGTCTTTGATTTGGAGAAGTCTTGATTTGTCATGTTCATCATCTGCTTGAAGGTGAATCCAAATGTCCTGAGAGTAAGGCCCTGAGTGTTAGTGACCCAGAGAGAACTAGCTGCCTTGGCTTTTTCGGTCTCCCCTAGCTCTGAAGCCTTTTGGGAAGATGCTGCAAGCTGAGCTGTTCTTATTTTCATTCTCTTGCATTTAGCCAAATGGAGCCCAGAGGATTATGGAGCCAAACTGTTGAGACGATACCGAGAAAACTTAGTGGAGCTCCTCACAGACACCCAGATGCTGCTGCAGGGTATCTCTGCTGCACAGAGCCTGGCTCCTGCTGAGAGAGAGGTAAGCAGCCTCCTGTACATGTGCAGGCAGATGCTGAGCTTTAATCCCCATCCGGGATCCCTATCAAGTTACTACCTGTCATGGCTTGGCTTGGGGCAGTCCTCCAGCAGGACTCTGTTTAATGATTCCTTAGTATCCCATAGCGGGAGTGAAGCAGGTAACATATATGAAGATGAAGGTTGGCAAGTAAGCGTGGCCGATTTGGGCACTGAAGAGAGATGCTCAGCTTCGGAGTGAGTCAAGGAAATGGCTGACGTGTTTGGGTGAAGGGCTGGGTTTCAAAGCAGTCACCGCTTGGGGTGCACCGTGAGCTAGGTCTTTAGCAGGGTGGAAGCAAGGGAAGGCTGGGTCTGGGGTGAGCCACAGTCATGGCTAAGCGTGATGCAGGGCAGATGGATGGGGTCCCTTGTTAATTGCCTCACTGTGGGTCTTTCCAAGGCAATGGAGCAGGTTGTCAAGCGTGAGGCCGGCGGTTTTGCCTCCCTCATGTCAGCAGCGCTGGAGGAGCAGTCTCTGTCGGTCTCTGCCATTTGGCAGCTGCTGCTGGCTGTGCGGGAACCTGCACCACTGAACCTGCTCATGGAGGAGATACGGAAACAACCCGGCGCAGAGTTTTTCTTCCAAGCAGGTAATGGCCTTGGTGTTCCCCCATGCTCTCCCTGAGCTTCTCCCGCTGCTGGTAGGGGCTGCTTTCTAACTCCTCACCCTCTCCCCAGCCCTTCCAATGGGTCTCAACACTCGTATCATTGGTGAAACAGTGGATTGGGTAGAAGAGCAGTTCCATCCACAAGCACGGCTGCTTTGCTTGTGGCTCTGTGCCTTCAGGTTTTGTAATGAGCAAACGTTTTGAGAGCTGACCACCATCCTGCGCTAATAACCAGCTGGAGGCCCATCAGATTGAAAGCATGGGTTTTATCGGAGGTCTGTGTGTAGCCACCCCAGAGCCTGTGTCCTCCCCAGAGCCCCAGCCTCTGGCTTTGAGTTTTCCTACTTTAAAACCTAACTCTCCTTCTTCCCCCAAATTGTTGCAAAAATCTCATGGAAGTGTGAGGAGCCCTCAGGCTGGTGGTCCTGTGGGGCAGGAGAGGTTGGCTATGCAGAGGCCGTCTCTGTGTGCTGGTGCTGTGGACACAAAGCTGGGGTTCACCTGCCTGCAGTCAGATGCCTGTGGTGTAGCTGCCTCTGTACGAACTCCTCTTCTCCATCCCTTCCGTACTCAGCCCGGAGAAGCCAGCACTTCTGGTGCATGGTGCATCCAGCCACTTTTTACATGGCTGTACCCAGATGAGGCAAATTATGCCTAGAAAAGCCTGATTCTCTGCAAAAGGCAGAATGGGATGTCTGTAATTGGGGGAGAGAAGAAATCTTGAGTCTTGGGAGAATCATGCCTGCTTTTTGAGGTTTGACAACTGATGTGTCTCTTTCAGCAATGTGCTTTGGAAAACGTGATCTCGCCCGTAGTTGGACAAGCAGTGAGAAGTGAAGTCTGCTAGGGTTTAATGCTGGATGTCAGTGCTGCAATTAGCATAACCAAAGCTTGCCTGTAGTTGTTTGCTGTTTTCTATGCCCTAAAGAAGTCACTCTTGCTGTTGACAGCTCAGCTTCAGGAGTGGGCTGGACAAAGCCAAGTGAAGCTAAGGCCTTCAGGTTCTCCTTTGGTTTTGTGTTTTTAAATACCTTTACTTTCTATTTTCATCTTCAGTGGCCACCAGTGAGAGCACAGCCATTGAGATCATCCTGCGGCACAGCAAGCTGATCTCGGAGGCCATCCAGCAGAGAGCGGACCTGGAGGGCTTGGCTCCGGGGGAGGCGGGACTCACGGAAGCAGTAAAAGAGGTATGAGGGGATGCTCTGGAGCCGGCATGGCTCGAGGCTCAAATGGTGGTCAGGCCCTAGTGTGTGCTGAAATAAATCAAGGGACATTACTTAGGTTGGGGAAGCCATCCAAAGTTGGAGGTGCCCCTCTGCTGAAGTGGGAGCCTGTTGGATGTTTTATATAAATTCTGCAGGAGTTTTTTAGGTGAAAGAAATTACCAGTGAAATTCTCAGTTGGTGAAAATGTGGGTATTCAAACACAGCAAAACTGTTTCAGGGAGTGGGTTTCTATTTGAGCTGGCTGTTCCAGGACATATGAGAATGAAACACTCCTAGAAAAGGCACTGAGGATGCCATGCCTGTGTTGCGTCCCAGAGTGCCTTGCCCGTTTTCCTTTTGACAACGAAAATGGGCTGCGTTAGTAACAAGCTGGCCTTTTCCACCAAGCAGTCTGTGGTTGCTCGTTCCTGCTTTGGTTAGCTGCTGTTGGAGATCTGGAAGGGTGAGGTACGTATGGGCATGCACAGATCCTCACCTTAGTTCTCCTTGCAGTGGCTGGCTGAAGCAGGTTTGGACTTGGAAGGGAGAGAAAAGCCCAGGGAGGGCTGTGTATGAAACACAGGTTTATGAGTTAGGTAAGCTTGTAATGCTGTAAGACACTGAGGAACCGCTTTTTCCATGGTAGTTTTAAGTGAGCTAATACTGAAATGGAAAAAGTCTGAGAATTTAATTTGTTGTAACTTTTTTTTTAATCCTGAAATTCTCTCAGCTCATGCACATATATCAGTGGAGGGGCAAAGACCTGTATGGAAAGGGATTTCTTTTCTGGTTTCTCAAAGCAGGTTCCCAGCAGTAGAGATGAAACGAAGAGGATGTGCCCTCACTCCCAGACCATCCCGACCTTTCACAGCCCAAAATCTCTGTCATGTGATGTTTTCTTCTTCTTACTTCTCCAGCTGCTGAGTATTTCTGCTCAGAAGGAGAGTTCAGAGGCCTCCTTGAAAGCAGCTCTGAGCACAGCCCAGAAGAAGTCTGTCCTGGCCATCAAGATCTGTCAGCTGCTGTGCAATGTCCATGAGTCCTTCCCAGACCTGCAGCCAGTGATGCAGGAGCTGGGGCATGTGGGTAAGAAAGCATAGGCTTTCATCCTTCTGTGATCCTTTACACATGGTTATGGGAGTCTTGGACAGTTTGGTAGTGGACCTCGGTGTCCTGGTGGCCTGAGGTCATTTCACAGAACTACCCCTAGCCAGATGTCAGGGTTGTACTTGCAGGAGTACACAAGTCACAGGGGTGACCTCTGGATCCAAGCACTGGAGCATGCATTTCTCCTGCTGGTAAAATGCACCAAATTAAAGTTTCATATGTTATGAGAGGTATAGAGGTTGTAACTGACCCCATACTGGTATTCCTGTCGTGGTTCAGCCCCAGCCAGCAACTAAGCACCACACAGCCACTCC